TAAGATTGCCTTGAGCATATGAGTGCATATAGTCTTTTATATTCATATGTTCACTTCGAATGAAACAACTAAAAATAAGTATAAAATTACAATAAAATGCAATACTATTAACTAATTTACATAGCATATTCTTGTTCTATTCATAAGAACAATTTTCATTTAATATTTATCTTTCTTCATAGATTTGAAATTATTCTCTTTGAAAACCAATTGAAAAATGTATTCAATACATTTTATTCTTTCCTATTGAGTTGTTATTTTAACAAACAAACCTTTTGTCTTATTGAATTCTTATCAAAATATTCCAATCGTTAGTCAAGGTCAAATAATAAATTAAATTGAACGATTAATCGATACATACAAGGACAAAATGATTGTAAAAAATTTTCTTTTCATTCAACTTTTTCTCTATATATATTTGCCCTATGAGCAAGTCTTTGTTCGATCCAATCAATTAGTTGCACGAAAACATTTAATGAAGATCAATATCAATCAGATTCTGAAAAAAGAAACATAGATTATGAAAATGATAATATACAATAGAATTATTTTCATTTCAGATCAAGAAGATTATGACTAAAAAAAAAATTTCTGATACACAAAAGAATTCTTAATATATATATATATATATGAATAATTTATTATATAAAAATCTTTTCAAAAATTATTTCTCAAACAATACGAACAAGAAAATCCTGCAAAGACTTAATCTGTGATTAAAAAACTAATATAAATAAATGAATATCAATTCAAAGATCAATCAATGCAACAGATTCACGTCGTTGATTGTAAAAATGATTGGTAGATTCTGCAAAATGTATTATGATTAGAGAATAAATAGTTCAATATTTTCTATTCATATTTAAATGTACTTGACAAAGTTTTCTATTAATATGTAACACAAAAAAGTCAGTGTATAAGGTCAAACTTCGATGGCTTTCATCTTGAGGATACATCAAAAATGTCTTTTACATTATTATTTCAAACTTTGATTATACTTTTGTCCTTTAATTTATCACATTCAATAGACCTAGTGAATCATCAATGAAAATAAAATCATTGTAAATATTGATCCATTCAAATGATGATATCATCCTTCAAAAAATTGAAAAATATTTATTCTGAAAGAAGTTTTATTTCTAATTCATAAATCAAAATATCTCCTTTATATTATCTTTTGTGAAAAAAAAGAAATAATATAAAGTTAAATTTTGAAATAGAAAAATCAGAACTAATACTGATTTCATCAAAGAAGATCTAAAAACTAATATCAAACTGGTGTTAGACACAAACATAGATAATAGATATGTGAGTAAATGGAAATAGGAAACAAAAGTCTAGTATTGTTCTAATGATAAATTTTATTGTGTTTTGTTACGTTTTTTAAGTGCTCGAGCACGAACACCTCCTAAGACAAACATTGTTGCTTTGTTCGAAAGAAACTCTGGTAGAAGTGATTGACCAAAATCCTAAATAAATATCAATGAATAAAAAATAAAAATAAAAATATTATCATTCGATTATATTCTATAATTTTACTTGAAGTTCATGTGCCCAATATCCAGTTGTAGATGGAAGTGAAATACGATCAATTGCACTCGTAACAAATTGTTCTGGTGTTGGTGAAAATAACGATGATTTACGAATGCCTGATAATTTACTAACAACAAAACCTGGATATAATGATTGAACTAATACACCACGTGATGCACATTCAGCAGCTAATGATCTACATTTGAAAAATAAAAAAAATTTATAAAATCGAATTTTTTTTTTTCAAAATTTAACGAACCGTGAAAATAAATCAACAAATCCTTTTGTGCCTGAATAAAGTGCTAATAATGGTACTGGTCGTCGACCTGAAACACTTGATAAATTAACAATAAGACCTCGTCGTTTTTGAAGCATATCTATACATATATAATTAAAAACAAATAAATTTTTTTATAATTATTTTAACGTAAAAATAATAGATAGACCTGGTAAAACCATTTGTGTTAAATAAGCAACTGAATCAACGTTACATCTAATCATATCATTGACAAGTTTTGCACTATTTTCAACTTTATCAAAAAATTCTGGATATTCATAAGACATTCCAACATTATTCACTAGAACACCAATATCCAGACCACGAATTTCTTCACGAATTGTTGTATAGATAGAATTGTCTTCTAGATAAATTCAAAATATAAATCATTTATTGATTTTTTTTTCTCGTTTTCATTTAATAAGTGTTTTTTATTTATTATTTTTTGATAAGACTTGTTTTTTTTTTGTTCTTATCTAAATCTTTTTTTTCATGCGTATCTTTAATACATATGATACTTATCTAAATATCCTATTCTAATTAAAAAACAAAAATCTTACTTGTAAAATCAATAGCAACTGTTTTAACTTGTACATTTGGATTTTTGCTTTGAATTTCTTTTGCTACTTGTTCTAATTTTTCTTTTGTTCGACTAATTAAAATTAGATTAAGACCTAATAAATATTAATAATTAATTATTGTTTTTTTTTTTTCTATTTTGGTCTTTTGAATTAATTTTTCTACCTCGTTTAGCTAATTCAATTGCATATGCTCTACCAATTCCATCTGTACTACCAGTAACCAATGCCCATTCACCAAATTTTGTTATATCAAGTTTTACTGGACATAAAAGTCGGTAAAAAAAAGCAGCAAGACGTGCTGCAACATAAACAAGTGCAAATGCACCAGTTGCTGCTAAAAACCCCATTGTCAAATTTTATTATTATTTTTTCCTTGCTTATTCAATGAATAATAATGAACAAACTAAAAAAAAAACATATTTGTTGTTAATGATCTCTAGACCAATGAAGTTGAATCTGTCCATAGAATATTTTCTGGATGAATAATAGAAGAAAGAAAGAACGTATTGTGTTTGTTCGTTTTGTATTTGCTCTTCTGTATATACATACATACATATATACATACCGTATATTTCTTGTGTCAAACATACAATAAATTCAACATCATGGCTGATTATCTTGCATCAATATTTGGTACAGAAAAAGATAAAGTTAATTGTTCATTTTTTTTTAAAATTGGTGCATGCCGACATGGTGAACATTGTTCAAAATTACATAATAAGCCAACATTTAGTCAAACAATATTATTAAAAAATCTTTATTTAAGTTTAGAAAATAGTTCACAAAAAGCAGATAAATCATTTATTGCAGATGAAATTACTGAAGAACGTATACAAGAACATTTTGATGATACATTTGAAGAATTATTTATTGAATTAGAAAGAAAATATGGTGAAATTGAAGAAATGAATATATGCGATAATTTATCTGAACATTTAGCTGGTAATTGGTTTTTTTTTCTTTTGTTTAAATTTTAAAATAGAAAAAATTCTTTTTTTTTTTTTTTTTTTAAGGCAATTGTTATGTTAAATTTCGTTTTGAAGAAGATGCTGAAAAGGCTGTTGTCGATCTTAATAATCGTTGGTTTGATGGACGTGCTGTTTATGCAGAATTAAGTCCTGTAACTGATTTTCATGAAGCATGTTGTCGGCAATATCAAATGGGGTACGAATTTTATTCGATCTTATATTAAAGCATATCGACCTTCATTTTTTTCTTTACTTATCCTATCAACATACTGTAATATAAGACATATTATAGTTAGAATGATTATGAAAAAAAAATATTATTGTGTTAATGCAGAAAAAAAAAGTTTGGAATTTGTTTTTCTCGATAGTATATCATTACATTGAGAACAAATCAAAATTGAGAAAGGCAAATTTTCATTCTTATCTAAAATCCGTCGGACCGATTAGAAAATTTCGTTTTGATCAATCTTGGTGGGATATTTAACCTGCAGACTGTTATCAACATTGTAAAAAAAATAAAGAGTAGAATAATAAGCCGTTTAAGGACTTATTAAATTGGCATAAATCCTAAAAAGGTTTATGAGACTAATAAACCCTATTCATAGGGTTTATTATTCTACGATTTTGTTTTTGTTTTACAGTAAATCGTGTATATCACGATAAAATACGATCGTCGTACTGCATCTACCAAACGCCAATTTTCGGGTGCAAACTGTAAAACGACCGTTTTTAGCCGTCTCGGCGATTGTAATCATCATCCTGGAAGGCGCCTGGTCTAACCCAAAGGGTCATGCTCTAAAAGTAACAGCTAATTATAACTTTATCGAATAAATATCTCCAGATAATCGGAAAAAAAATTTCTCTTCTTTGGAGTAACTGTCAGACTTAATCTCGTTGAAATTAGGAATATGGTTCTGAGTCCAAAAAAATCTTATGACCTTTCGAACGAGGTATGTTCAAATTCCCAAAAAAGAAAATGACCCAAATTTCCATCAGCTCGATAACTATATACTAATACAAATCAAAAATTTTTAGACATATTGAAAATTTCTGTAATTTCGGAAATGACATCATTTTAGGAAGCAGCGTTAAATTTAGAACATAAACGCTTGAAATTTCTTCTTTCGGAAGTCTGAACACTGTTATATCATGTATTATTGATTAATAATTTATAGAAAAACATAAGAATAATTTTATAATCGCTGAACATAATTTGATTTACTGACTTTGTAGACAAATATAGTGAAAAATCTTCTAATTGTTTTGTTTTTGTTTTTTTTTTTAGTGATTGTCCTCGAGGTGGTTTCTGTAATTTTATGCATTTGAAACCTGTAAGTGAATTGAATTCGTTTTTGTTTGTCTATGTATTTTCCGATTAAATAATTTGTTTTTTTTTGTATTTTAGATTTCAAAAGATTTAAGAAAACGTTTATATCAACGACGTCAACGAAAAACTCGTAGTGATTCAAGATCACCATCTCGTGATCGTTCACGATCACGTGAAAAAGATCGTCGACGATAAATAGAAGAACAAAATAAATAAATAAATAAACTTTCCTTTTTGTCTTTTAATAAATTGGAAAAAAAACAAAAAAAAAAATAAATAAATAAACGTAAATTTTTTGTTGTTTATTCCAGATAATGAATGAAAATAATCCAAATACTAATGGTGATATTGATCGATGGGTTGAATGGATAAAAGATTGCAAATATTTACCTGAAACTGATTTTAAACAATTATGTACAATAATATCAGATATTTTTTTTGAAGAATCTAATGTGCAACCAGTCTTTTCACCAGTAACTATTTGTGGTGATTTACATGGACAATATTATGATGTACAAGAATTATTTCGTACAGGTGGTTATCCACCTGATACACAATATATATTTATGGGTGATTTTGTTGATCGCGGTTATTATAGTTTAGAAACTTTAACACAATTACTTGTTTTTAAAGCTAAATGGCCTGATCGTGTAACATTATTACGTGGTAATCATGAATCACGACAAGTAACACAAGTTTATGGTTTTTATGATGAATGTATGAAAAAATATGGAAATGCTAATTTATGGAGATTTTGTTGTCGTTTATTTGATCTTATGCCAATTGGTGCATTGATTGATAATGAAGTTTTATGTATTCATGGTTAGTTAATTATTATCATATATATTTAAAAGAAAAAAAAAATTATTTTTTGTTTCTTTTAATTTAGGTGGACTTTCACCAGATATTGGTACAATTGATCAAATGCGTACAATTGAACGTGATCAAGAAATTCCACATCGTGGTGGTTTTTGTGATTTAATGTGGTCTGATCCAGATGATATTGATTGGTGGGCTATATCACCACGAGGAGCTGGTTGGTTATTTGGAGAAAAACCAACAAATCAATTTATGCATAATAATCAATTAAGTTTAATATGTCGTGCTCATCAACTTGTTCAAGAAGGTCAGTAACTAGATGTTTTCGACAAAGTTAAATACGACAGTTCTTTGATAAACTAATTAAATCTTCTTAAATGATCATGAAAAAAATAAGCCCTACTGTATTGCTATTAACTTTTATCTGATTATACAGACTGTTAGTAGAATGTATTTGTTTTTGTTTTTCAATCGAAATACCAAATGTGTACTATAGATGTATATCTTCATTTTTATATTTGTCAGTCTCCTATCAGACTTAATGACTTTTGTTTATTGTCTAGGCAAATAAGAAGTCCATTATATTTTAATTTCTTAAAACAAAAACATGAAATCTTATGTTTTTCTTTCAATCATTTCTTATTTTTCCACTTTAATAATAACCTTTCTTAATAAATGATGAAGGTAGAGAAATACTATCAAATAAAAGAATAATAGATCAAATATTAACAATGAATTGAATATGATTTTCTTAATATAATAATATAAAACCAACAGAAAAATAATTTAAAGATTTCAAAGACATAAAAAGGAGAAAAAAAAAAGATTGATGATCAAAATTTCTTTTCCTCTGCGTTTAGTTTCTTCACATGAATGAATATCTGTATTTCTCATGGGACACATTAGCATTAATAGTCGAGATTATTCGAATATTTCTGTTTTTTTGTTTTCTAGGGATTAAATTTATGTTCGATGAGCATCTTGTAACGGTATGGTCTGCACCAAATTATTGTTATCGATGTGGTAATATAGCTGCTATACTTGCTTTTCATACAGCAACAAATCATGAAACAAAATTATTTAATGCTGTACCCGATAATGAACGGGTTATACCAGCTAAAACAACGACACCGTATTTTCTTTAATAAAAAAAAAAAATTAAATCTACAGAATTTTTTTCAATTGTCTCTTTTTTTTTCTTTGTACCAACAGTGTTGCTTTGTGTATAGAACAAAAAAAAAATATTTTTTTTCTTCTAGATTTTTTTTTTTATATGAATTTTTAAATATGGATGCAGAAGATGAACAAAGTAATTATAAGAGAAAGTATTAAGTTTTTATCATATTAATTAAATTTTTTTTAAGGTCTCGAAGAACGTCTTCGTGCACAGAGTACTACTACTAATAATACTAATAATAACAATAATAATAATAATAATAATACAAATAAACCTTTAACAACTCGTGTAACAACATCAAGTGTTAAATCCAATCGACATACATTTAAAGATGAAAAAATTGAATCTCACACTGATAAAAATGGCGTTTGTTATCGAGTCGGAGGTGAGAAATAAAAAACATAATTGAAATTTTCAAAATCAATTTATTATTATTATAATTATTATAATTATTATTATTTAGATCATGTTTATTTGGAAACAAATAAACAAGCCGAACCATATTCAATAGCTTGTATTCTTGATTTCCGTTTAGTATGTTAAATAATCATTAATCATATAGCAAAATATTATTTTCTATTTTATATATCTAGACAAGAAAAGATCATGTTATGCTTGAAGTACGTTGGTATTATCGGCCTGCTGAAATTCCACCTAATCTTTATCATCTTCTTATTGAAGATCGTTATCATGAAAATCGTAAGTTTTACCTATAAATTATTTATTTGTTCAATATAATTCTATATTGCTTTTTCCTTTTTTTTTTTTTGCTCGATTCTTTTCCTATATACTATAATGCCAGTAGTGATGGCAGCGTCAGTCAATGTCTATATAAATCATTGTATAATGTGTATAGTAAAATGTCATTCTTTCTTGCTCTATCGTTCTTTTATATGAGGCGGGTAAAGGAACATATATCCTAGCACAAGAAAAAAAAACAAGTCAGACAAACGCGCACAATTGATAATCATCAACATCGGGTGTTATCTCTATCGAATAAGAGTCAAATCCAAGCTAATAATTAAATAGTAATAGAACCAATTAGTAGTCAATGTATATATGTGTGTGTCTGTATTTAATATATGAAATATTTCATTAAAATCTTTATTTGCTTTATATCGATTCATTCATATTTTTTTTTCTATCCACGAGAAAGAAAGAAAAAGAAAAACCAAACATTAGTACTATTCATCATCATCATCCAATATATATCATCAATAAGTATCGAGGAAAGAAAGTCGATGTATAATAATACATATATAAACACATTCTTCATATCTTCGTCAGAAGAACAATGTGTATATATATATGTTGTATGACGTGTATTACTACAAACGATTACTGGTTTTCAAGAAAAACTGTCATAGTTAGTCAAGTAAATTATTCTCTTGCATTCTTCTATTTTATCTATATTTCTTGCTTCTTTTTTTCATTACTTCATTTCTTCCGTTTTTTTTTCTTGCTCTTTCTGTGTGTTTTTTTTTAATGTTGTGTTGCTTATACTGGATTGACAGATTATCTTTGAGACAATAGATGTCAATCCGATTCATTTGGATGTAATTTGACTATGAATAGCTAAACAAAAATAATAATTGTAATAATAAAACGTTTTTCTTTTTCTCATTCTTCACATTCGATTAAAAGTTTAAATCGTCATCTATTTATATATATAAAGGAGTACATAAGGGTGTATGTTGATTGTTTGTTGCTCTTCTCGCTATTATGTGTTTGCCACACACACACACACACACACACACACATACACGCTTGCGTCGAGTAGTTTGTCGTCGTTGTCGCTTTTCTTTTTTCTGTCTCTCAACAGGAGCTCCTGCTTACTCTCTTTAGCTGCCGGAGGGACAAATAGAAGAACAATATCACATCATTGTCGACGACAACGATGTTGTATATGGTGTCGTGTGTCGTTTTTCTTTTTCTTATTTTCCATTTGTGATTGATTTTTTTCTTTACTCTACTCGTTCGCATAGACATACATACTTAAGCGTACACACTATTACAGGTGAGTAAAGGAAAGTAATGTCATCATCATCATCATCATCATCATCGTCATTATTGTTATTATTATTATTATTTTTATTGTTTGACATAAGTCGATGTAATTAGTCGTGGACATAGCACATAGTCAACTATCATTACAATTCAATTCTGTTCAATGATACATATAAAGAAAAATAGATAAGAATGTTACTACTATTACTATTACTACTATTGACGAGAGTGGTATTGATCGGCATGTGTGGAGAGATTTCCTCTTTTTTTTCTCTCGACATATTGACGTCTAGTACTCATTGGCGATGGTAGTGTAGAGAATTTCTTTCTTCTTTCTTCATGCTCACCCTTCGTTCTTCGTTTTCTTCTTCAATTACATACTCCCTCTTTTACTTCTCTTCTCTCACGATATGTGTGTGTGTGTATGTGTATGTTCGCATTTGCATTGAGACTAGGCACATAGCCACTGTCAAATTATTGTTAGAGTGTATATAATTCATCGACGAAGAACGATGAGAGTCCAAAGAGAAGGAGAAAGAGAGCACATGAGAGGATAGAAAGGAGATAGCGCGTGAAAATGAGCGACGACCGACACAGGACTCGACGAAATGCAGATGATAATCAGTCTAGTGTAATCATTGATCGGCGGGCGGGCGATGGTGGCAAGTCGTTCTTCTCTCTTTCTCTTCTCTTCTCTTCTCTCTCTCTCTCTCTCTCTCTCTCTCTTCATTCTAACAACAATAATAGAAATCCTTTTAAGTAGCAGCGCGCATGTAAGCAAAACGAAACACAAGCAAAATATCAAATTTTTTCTTTTTCTTTTTTTATGTTGTTATAAGTACACGTTACTTTCATTCTCGTTTGATTGTGTTATCATTGTCAATATATATATATATATTATATATGTGTGTGTGTGTGTCTTCTTTATCATCATCATCATCATCATCGTTTTTTTTTTGATTTATAATCAAATGCATATGAAACTAAGTTTGTGTAATCATCATTATTCACTTCTTTTTTTTTCCTTAGTCAAATTCTTATTGAAAGAAAAGAGACATCTTTAAATCCAACTTATTTGTTACATTTTTTGTTCCTTTGTGCTGTTGGTTATTTGACAATAACAACATCAATTACAACAAACGCGTCATCACCACATCAATTAAGAAATGTAGAAAGAAAGAAGAAGAAAAAAAAAAGAAAAGAAAAAAAAAGAAACATAAATAAAAAAAAGAGTCTTTTTCAGGTATTCATATTTTATGTCACTATATGGTATGCATATGCTTATATACGGGTTCATCGAGCCGAACAAACAGAAACATATCCGATACCATAAGTGATTGATTAATCGGATCAACTGACTTTTTTTTCTCGTTCTGTATATATTTATTATATGTTCGCATCCTTATTAATCGAGGTATCTCTCTTAGTTTTTCTTTTTTTTTCTTTTTCTATAAAGACCTTTTGTTCTATTCATTTATCAGAAGCAAAACATTTGAGTCAAAGATATATATATATATCTACATATATTCACACCCTGTTTTATCATTAAACAACAAACGATAGAGGATTGTATGTATTAGAATATAGTAGTGGCTCATGTCACAGTAATAAATAATATAATGTCTATAATATATCTATATCTCAACCAACCCGATGACGAGCGATGAATTGTTGCTGTGTGCATCGTCTGTTGTTTTCTTTTCCTTCCTCTTCAACGAACATTAGCATAGCGCGTTCGTGAGACGCTGTCGTGTAGCAAAAGGAATGAGAGAGCGCGAGCGCACACACACATATAGAGAAAAGAGAGAAGGACCGTGACACGACGCCGGTTTGTTCCTTATTAAGGTGACACTAGCAACAACGAGCTTTCTCTCTCTCTCTCTCTCTTGCTATGTATGCTGTTCTTTCTTTCTCTTCATCGTCTCTGTGTGTCCATTATGATTCGCGTTGATCTATTCACTTTCTTTTCACACTTAACATGCACATTTTGCATCATATACTTCATATATAAACGAAGGTAATTCATAAAGAATAAATGATGAAGAATTATTAGTTAAAATAAGCAACAAATTATCGATTTCATTTGTTTTCTTGTTGATACGTATATTATTTATTATGATTATATCTATCAGCATTATTTTTCTCTTTTCTTTTTTATTTTGCTAAGACTATTTGTCTTATCGCACTTGGCAAGTTGATCCTTTCTCTTCATATATATATATATATATATAGATATATATATGTGTGTGCATGTTATAATTTCTGGTTAATGACATATACAGTAGAACAGCAACGACAACTCGCGCGTCCTGCTAGCATTAATTGTTGTGTTTGAATATATATATATATAGATGTATATATGTTATATACCGCTTTTAATTCATCGACGAATTGTGAGTTGAGTAAAGAATAGAAGTTGAACACTCCTCTCAAGAGATCGGTCAAATGGGCGTGTCGACACGCGATCTTACATATTCTTTTTTTTTTAATTTCTTTTTTCTTTTGTAAAGTGTGTTCATTTTATTCTTTGATATAGATTCTTCGATTTTCTTTTTCAATTGATTGATCAGAATAACTTTTAAATGTCAATAATCTACACCTGATAAGCTGTCGTGCCGTGCTTCAGCTAACAGAAGGATGATTGATTAGTTTCAAGGACCGAGGCGAGCTCTCTCGTCTTCTTTTCTTTTCCTTTCCTTTTTTTTTTGCTGTTTCTTTCTCTATCGACTCGTTTCTCATTCTCTGCTTCATCCTACATCCTCACACTGCCTTTTTGATTCTGTATGTGTGTGTGTGTGTGTCTGTATGTGTGCAAGAAATAAGAGAGCGCGAATAAGCAAGCAGAGTAGTCGTTGTCGTCGTCGACATCATTTCCGTTCATTCATCTAAAAGAAAACTAAATTACTTGATGCTTTTTGTTGTTTTTATGTATAGAAAAAGAAAACGGTATATCTATATATA